GGTAACGAATTTGTAAATACTCGATACATATAGTATCGTTATAGTTATTATTCATGGTATCTTTAATCAAATATTATATATGTATATATATATATATATAGGCCTATATATATATATATATATGTATATATATATAAATCAAGTTTGCTGCGCTGTTATACAAAATTATGCGTACTTTGGACACGTGTAATGGTTTAGTAGGGGGCTTTCGATTGCACGACGACGGTAGGACCATCGAGGAATTAGTTTAGTAGGACGTAGAACGTAATGACGTCACTAAAATCCATCTGCCCATGCGAGAACGTTAAGGTCACCTCGTCGAATAGATTCTGGAACGCAATTTGATTTGGCCAAATGACGTCACGCATGAGTGATTTCATTCCAGCGTCGCGTCGTCGCACAAATCGAAAGCTCCGTATTATTTCTTGATAAGTTTTTCTCACAATAATTATTCAATTTCTCAAACAAAAGGAATAACGTACCATAACATAATCTATAGCAAGCAGATACATTTATAAATATTCCGTTTACTAATACGGAAATATTCCATACATTGACTGTGTAAATAAAAACTGTACAAGAAAGAAACAGTACATACTAGGCCTACATAAAAATATCGTTCCGCTGCGCTTCTGTATGTAACGTTAAACTTCAGTTGCATATCCATGTTTATCAGAAGTTAACGTAATTTACCGAAACTAGCGCCCTCTGTCGTTTTAATCAAAAATAATTATGAACTTGGCCTCCTTCCTAAAGTCCCTATATATAGAGAGTTTGCCACATGAGCCGCGGTAGGACTCCATATTGTGTCCTTTCAAGCATGAATGAACACAACGCCTACGGTATGTTACAGGGTCTAGTGATTGCATAAATAACAGGCAATTGAAAAAATATATATACAGTAATAAGAAAATTTGTCATTAACAAATTAATCACATAGGGCCTATGGCCTACTAAATATATTTTTATTCTAAATGCAAAAGAAAAATGTGAATGTGACTAAAAGCCACTGAAGATCAAATGCGAACGACTATGGGTTGGATATTAACTTACGGCGAAAAAACAACCCAAGAAAACTGCTACTTTGCATAGGCCTACAAGCCAATGCGATCATTCAGTGAGTGGCTTGTGAGCATGTTTGCATGGGTTTGGCTGATTTTATTTTGAATATCACATAAAATATTGAAAGCTAGAATAGTAGTTTAGATACATGTGCGATAAAATAATACATGGTAATCCAATACTGTACAAACTTTATTTCCGAGTACCATAACTACATCCCTGCTAGAATCCCCAGACATTGTGACAGTTCATTTTTTAAAAATAACAAATTAGCTTTTAGATTTAAAATGTTATGTCCATGTACCTCAAAAATATAAAATAAGTGATCAAAAGTGTTTAGTATCAGCAGATGCCACAGCAAATACTGTACAGTATTTGTTTACTTACTGTACTTGTTTTACCCTGTTATCCGTTTTTTTTAAATTATATGTATGGTAATTTCTTTATTTCCCTATGAATTTTATATTTTTATTTTGCAATAATTCCTATAATGTATAATAAAAGCACAAATTTTCCTATATTTTAGTGGCAAAGGGAAGAAACACTGGTACGCTGCCCAAAAGTGAACAAAATGTTAGGTCACTTGCAAAGCATTTAAAGGACCAGATGAGGGAAAATAATAGATTNNTCTGTCTCTTATACACATCTAGATGTGTATAAGAGACAGGGAAAGAGCAGCAATAAGCCGTCTGCATAATACGCTTAATGAAGGTTTAAAGCTACAGCAGAACTATGTCGCCACAACTCAAAGAAACCAAGAGCGGTTGGTGGCTGTATTGGGAAGAATGGTGCCAGCACAACCACAACAATTGCAGCTTCATCCCAACCTGTTTCCAAATCCTTTTTTGGGCAACTTGAATAGCAACAATTATTAACTTTATCTCAAATCTAGTCTTGTATATATACAGTATGCAGTTCATCATTCATTGACCATATTGACTCATTAATTATACTGTATTTAAATTTAAAGCATTTATCCATCCCATTGATGCACTGTTTACAGTAAAATTATTTGTTATGTTCTCTGTTGTACTTAGAATTTATTAGCCACAGTTTTCCTAACAATACCAATTTTAAAAATCAAGATTTGATTTCTCAGCTTGGGCAGATGCAGGAGATCGCACCCCCTCCTTGCCAAATTATATTTATATAAATGGATTGTTGTTGTATTTTTTATATAAATTACAGTACCAGTTAGATTTTAAAGTTATGAAAGTGCAATTTCTGGGTTCGTATTCTTAAAATTTTCATGCCTTACCCACAACCATTTTGGCGCTGAGATGGTGTGGACTCGCACCCCCTACAGCCAAATCCTGCATCTACCCCAGCTCAGACGTCGTCAAAATAATAAATTGTGTGAAATATTGTCACATTTTTAATTTATATAGTGTGATATGTACAGTTCTATAAAAAAAAAAAAAGATCCCCATAATAGGGGTTGAAAATTTATTTATTTGACCTTTTTGGGTTGGGTTTGTAGTGATAAAGGAAAGGTTGCCATGTGATGTAGTTGTTAATTTTTGTGTTATTGTTTAATAAATGAAGCTTGCTTCCAAAGAGAAAAGAATCATGCAATGTGTACTGA